GACATCGACCAGCTGCCTCCTGCACACCTCCTACTGGGGATGTGCCTGCAACCAAGGTACATGCCCTTGACCGGAATCGAACCTGGGACCTTTCAGTCTGCAGGCTGATGCTCTATCCACTGAGCCAAACTGGTTTTGGCCCAACAACCTGAGTTTTAACAACATCTCTGAGTAAATCCTATCTGCACTAAACTTTGAGAATCTCTGAATCTCCAAAGTATTGCTTCAGACCCTCTGCATTGCGGACTTCCATCTCAGTACACTGTATTTCAAACTTGTTTCTAGATTTAATTTCTAACCAATCTTGAAACAGAAGATTGGGCTTCGCCCAAGTGTCTTTCATGAAATATCTTGAGCTAAATGTGCTGGATTTAGCAGATGACAGTTAATTCATGCCAAACAGTCAATGTGTAGTAGCAACAGCTGAATCAGTAAACCTTGGTTTACTTTCATCTGTCTCAGAAGAAAAATCACCTCTTCGCTGGATAGCTTGTACAAGTCAGTCGGTCTATTTCTTTATCAGTTATTTTTAACAGCAATGAATTGTGAAAACTTCTAACAATCTATTTCCTAGTCATATTGTATTTGTTTCCCAAGGAAGAAAAAAATCTCTTTATAATACAAAGAAAACAAAAATATTTGAACAATGTTTTACAATTTCTAAGGTGTTTCTATGTGCATTTTATCATTTAATTCGCATGGGAATCCTGTGAAGTAGTGTGATAACAGTGTGACTTTCCATATAGCATGCTGTAAACTTCTAAGTGGAGCCAGAATAGATGAAAGGGTAGATCCAATAAGATTGGGACTGCCCAGCCAGCCGGTGTAGCTCAGTGGTTAAGCGTTGACCTATGAACCAGGAAGTCAGGGTTTGATTCCTGTCAGGGCACATGCCCGGGGTTGTGGGTTGTGGGCTCAATCCCCAATGTTGGGCATGAAGGAAGCAGCCGATCAATGATTCTCTCTCATCATTGATATTTATATATTTCTCTCCCTCTCCCTTGTGCACACCCCACACTGGGAATCGAGCCTGCAACCCACAACCCGGGCATGTGCCCTGGCTGGTAATCGAACTGTGACCTCCTAGTTCATAGGTCGACGTTCTACCACTGAGCCATGCTGGCTGGACTGAATCAGTTTGAATTCCAAGTAGCAACTACTGTTCTCACTAAAGGATCTTTAATACCCCCTCCCATCTCTGCAACACACCCAAGAATGCTAAACATGCAAGGTACCTCAGTACAGCTTTATATTTGTTATCTGTTATGGCATAACAAATTATCACAAAATTAGTGGCTTCAAAACTATTACCTCATAGTTTTTATGGGTCAGGAATCCAGACATGGTTTAGGTGGGTATTCTAGCTCTGGGTCTCCCACAAGGTTGAAGTCACATCAAGGCCCCGACTGCAAACAATCTGCTTCCTAGCTCACCCACATAGATGGTAGCAGTATTTGGTTTCCCATGGACTCTTGGACTGAAATCTCAGTTCCTCCTGAGCTGCTGGCCAGGGGCCTCCCTTGGTTCCTTGCCACATGGGCCTCTCTTGTAGTGCATTTCACAATATGGCATTTGGTTTCATCAGAGCAAGGAAATGAAGAACAAGAGAGTGCCAGCAAGAGGAGGTATGCTAGCAAGACACAAGTCACAGTCTTATAAGTTAATGCAGAAATGACATTCCATTACTTTTGCTATATTCTATATGTTAGAATCATGTCACTAGGCCCAGTCTGCACTGAAGGGGAGGAGATTACACAAGAGTTTGAATACCAGGAGGTAGGGTGCTGGGGCTGACCAGCAGCCCCTGGATGATGGATGAGAGGATTACTCAGACACATTTTGACTGTGAAAGAGAGGGCTAAGGGGCCCCTGGCTCTAGCAGCCAGAGCAGCCTCGATTGCCTGCCTCTTTAGGCTTTTATTGGCATTTTTATCTTTAGATACAATCAGTAGGGTGAGTAATCTTGGGAGGACACATGTGATTACATTGTCCTCTTGGCAAGAGCATCCAGGGATTAAGAATAAGGATTCCAGTAAACACCCGAGGGTCTGTACCTGCACAGACTTGTTTGGAAAGGCCAAGGAATAATTAGGGGCGCCACCTTCAACACTCCCCTAAGTCGGAATTTCGATAAACAGGGCAGGCGGCCTTCCACACACTTCCCTTTTATCATAATGTCCTCCTTACAAACTTTGCAACCAAGTCTCATGCTCCCCAACAGTAGGGGTCATTGAGAGCCATGTTCAGATGCTGCCTACCTCAAGTACCAAAGCAATATTTGGAAAACTCAGCAGAAATGAGATAGCTAGTGCAACAATGATTCCATTCACCATCTTAGATTAATATTATCACCAAAGGTTTAAAGTCTACTTTAAACCTTTCTTAATTTGACACATATACACATGCACACTGTATTCCATACATAGATCTCATTCGAGGGCACTGAATCCTGGCTACCTCACTTATCACAGTGCCTAAGATTCCCCTCACTCAAAGTTTGCCAGCCACACTGGCAGACTGCCCAGGATTTCATCCCATCTATTTAGAATATACTTTCTTCCTATATAGGCCTGACTGTACCCTCTCTTCATTCCATTCTCTGCTCAAATGCCACATCCTCAGAGAAACCTTCCCTGACCAAGCACCACATTTTCACCCACTCATCACTCTCCTTTACTCTTCTTCATGTTTCTCCATAATGCTGTCACTACCTGACAGTCCATAATGTACTTTTCATTTATCTGTTTATTGTCTGTCTCCTCCAACAAATAAACATGTACATTTGGTCATAAATTTCAGAGCCTAGAGTGGTACCAGGCACGGAGTAAGTACTCAATAACTATTCGTCAAAATGTGAAGGACTGTTTTTTATTTAGCATGGGGAAAACTTTTGCAGTGGGTCCTTGAATAACATTGCTTCATTTGATGTCATTTGGTTATAACATTCATGATATGGCATAGGAATGTAACCCTTATTTATATCAATTAGCCTTTGGTAAAATTGGTTTTGTTATATGTTGTTTCGCTTAAAGTCGCAAAACCTATCAGTGACATTACGTGAAGACTTATTGTACTTGGGTTATGTTTGTACCACATTAATAATATGATACACATCCATCTCTGTTATTAGGAATTATGCCATCATTTTTCCCACCTATGATAATGAGGAAATGAATTATTAGAAATGGGAGTGTTTTTAAGGACTTCTTTTGGAAAAGTAGTTGACATTTACCAATTTGAATTCCATAACAGGATGTACTTTTGGTCTTTGCCAATAAATTTACATTCATTGAGAAAGGAAAAAGATCTTTATAAAATAATACAGAGAATCATTGAATTCCTGATATTTTCCTTAGCAATGATTTTCTACATAACCTTTGTTGTGTATTTGTTCAGTTTTTTTCCATCCTAAAGAGCAACTATTGAAATGAAAACAATTATAGTCAAGATATGTTTTTGGTGGTTTCAACAAATAATCTTATCTCATTCTGTGCTGAACATTCACTTTACTAAAATAAAAATAAACAAAAGCATATTCAAACCCATCTTAAATGAATGACAAAAAGAGTCCTTAAGTCCAAAGCCTCTGAATACTTTATTTAGTCTGATTAATCCAAGTCAATTTTTTTTTCTTTGTGGGAAGGTTTCTATGTCAATATTTTAAGGAATATACTGATATATGAACCAAGAGCTATGTGCAAAGTACTGTTACACCTTATAAGGAACACAAAGTGAGGAAGACTCATATACAGATGGACAACAATAGTATAAAGTATAATTTAGATTGTGTATTCTGAAGTTAAATCTTCTATGTGACTTAACCATACATTTATTAACCTACTAGAAGGCCCATGCATAAAAATTTGTGCACTGGCAGGGGCGGGGGGGGGTCCCTCAGCCCAACCTGTGCCCTCTCATGGATCACACTGCTGCTCGCCCCGCCCACCCTGCCTGCCCCTCCCCGCACATGGCAGGCCAGGATCTGGTGTTGGGGCAGCGCAGGGAGATCTGCCTACAGTATGCAAATTAGCCGCTATCTTTGTTGGCAGCTAATTTGCATATATTGCTGATTAGCCAATGGGAGACATAGCGAAGGTATAGTCAATTTCAATCTTTGTCTATTATTAGATAGGATCTTTGTCTTAGCACTTATCTCATAGTGTTATTGTGATGGTTAATTTATGTTAACTTCACTGGGTCACAGGATGCCCAGATATAAACATCATTTCTGGATGTGTCTGTGAGAATGTTTCTTAATGAGATTAGAATGTGAAACAGCAGATTAAATAAAGCAATGCCCTCCCTGATGTGGGTGGGCCTCATCTAATCCACTGAAGGCCTGAATAGCTGAATAAAACATTGTCTCTGAACTGGGACGTCAGTCTTTTCCAGCCTTTGGAATAAGACCTGGGCTAGAACTACCACCATCAGCTATTCTGCTTCCTATGCTTTTGGACTTAAACTATGCCATGGGCTCTCTTGGGTCTGGACTTCTTAATCTCAAAAAAAAAGTCCTTATGTCAAAAGCCTAGGAATATTTTATTTAGTCTGATATGAGAGAGGGGGAGGTAGAGGTATAATACAACCCTAATACAGTTGTTCAGTTAATTGAATGTGTGGATGAAAAGTGGCAGCATGCTAACTTGACAAGCTCAAGGAAGGCCTACATGATGGCCTTGCAAAGTCAGAAATGTAAAGTAAGCACAAGGATGGTCTGAATTAAAACTTTTTAAATAAAAGCAGTTTATCATAGGTAGTCATGTCCTAGGCTAGAATCTTCCCTGACAAAAGCCAATCTTTACCTTAACTGAGCCTGTCTATTGTCTTTTGCATCTACCATAACATACTTTTGGAATGTCAGGGTAGTTTTCCTTTTTTCCAGACCCCTCAGGGCACAACCAATGCACCAGAGCAGAGACTACAAATTATTGTTATTTTTATACAGGTGTTCACTATTAACAACCCTATACCCACCTATGTAAAACATGTATCACTTTATTTTTTATCCAATCCCAGAGGTTTCCCTGCTTTGCTTTCTCCCACCTCCCTTGTCTGCCACTAATGAATTTCATATAATGTGCAAAATAAGGTGCAAAACTGCCATTCCCATAAGATTTTGCTTCCCGGCAATTGTCGACAGTTTGGCTCAAATAAACTCACAAAAATTCTTCACAGGTTTGAATGTTGCTTACGTTGACAAATGAGATAACTTATGTGAAGCTTTTAATGCAGTGCATGACACATAATAAGCACTCAGAACTGTTACCCAAGAAAAGACAGAATTAGGTAAAGCTTCAAGAGACTGAAAACCCCAACTAACTATAGCTTATGTTTTAAAAGAAGGTTAAATCACCCTCAGGGAAATGAAGTCCCAAAGTATGATATAATGACTGCTCATCAACCAGTCCAGTGCTGGTATGGCCACTCAGTACTCCTCAGAAACCCTGGTGCTTTCTATCAAATTATTCCCCTATGCTCAAAATGTAACTATCAACCTTTACCATGCCTACAAAGGTGGCTTGGGGATTTGGATAATAATCAAAATCACATGACAACAATGGGCCACTCTTTGTTTTACTTAGAAGAATAATGATCTCATACAGTCTCACCAGCAGTACAAGGGAGTGAAAGCTGTTCCACATCCTCACTAATAGTTGGTATTGTCATGCTGTCCATGTTTCTCTCCACTGTCATGGTTATATTTTAGTACCTTATTATAGCCTAAATCTGCATTTCCCTAAATTAAGCAATTTTCATATGTTTATGTCATTTGATTTCTTCTTTGTGCAACGCCTGTTCACTATCTTTTACTATTGGGTTGTTTGTATTTTTTAACTTATTTGTAAAGTTCTCTATAATTCTCAATAGTAATCCTTTATTGGTTCTGTGTATTGCAAATCTCTTCTCCAATGTTGTGCTCTTCCTTTTCCACGTTTGTGGTGACTTGATTAAATTCTCAATTTTAATTTGTCAGTCTTTTCCTTTACATTTCATGCTTTTGGTGTTCTATTTAAGAAGTCTTTTCCTACCCTAAAGTCATGAAATATTCTTCTATATCAACTTCTAAAGTTTTATTATTTTGCTTTTCACATTTAACCTATGATACATCTGGAAATTATTTTTATGTATGGTTTGAGGTAAAATATTGTTGTTTTCTTTTTTCCACATGATTACCCAGTTGTCCTAGCTTCACTTGGGCCCTGTTTGTCAAGAATCAAGGGTTCATTAATGCTTTGGTCTATATCTGGGTTTTCTAACCTGTTTCATTTTCTTACTTATCTGTCTGTATACCAATACAATAATTACTGTAGCTTTTAACTCTTGAAATCCAATGTGCAAGCCCTCCCATCTTATTAATACCCTTTGAAATAATTTTGTCCATTTTGGGTCCTATGCATATAAATTTTGTAATATGCTTGTCATGCTCCACAAGAAAATTCTCTGAGTTTTTTTAATTGGCACTTTGTTTAATCTATTGATCAATTTGGGATAATTTATGTATTTTTTTAGTGAACATTTCTGAGGTGTTTTTTGTTTCTTTATTGATTAAGGTATTACATATATGTCCTTATCCCCCCATTGCCCCCACCCCCATCCCCACACTCAGGCCCTCACATATAAGC